CTGGGAACTCGGCCGGGAGGTTCCGGAATCGGCTGTCCGGTAAGCGAACACGTGTTTCGCCGACCAGTGCACTCCGCACAACCCTTCAAAGTCCCAGACTTGTCGTTCGTACGGGACCGACATCCCCAACTCAACTCCTCGTCCCCGAGGCCCTCGCAGTCCTCGCACTTAGGGTCGTTCACGATACCCTCCTTGGCTTGAGCGCGAGCCAGGCGACGTGATTGCAACTACCGAAACGAACAAGATTTAGCCGAATCCGCTCAAACGCAAGCGAAACGAGCTTACCACCGCCCTCCTGGTCTTCACCTCGCTGGCCGTCCCAACTCGAGTCGAGAAAGGAGGCTCGCCGGGCCTCGCCTCGTGATCGATGATCTCTTGGTCGGTAGCGTTGACGATACCAGCGTGGGCTACAAGGCGGATTAGCTCGAAGCAAACAATTTCGCTTAAACAATACGAATATTACTTACTATCCCACCACTCGGGCTCAGGTGTCGACGCCAACTCGTCTCCCTCAGTGCCGACCGTACCGATGTTGATCACGCTATCGTCCCCAATGTCGATGATCGAGTCGACCCCCTCGCTTTCGGCTAAAATCAAGCAAATCTGGTTCAGCGAAACGAGTTCGATCGACGGGTACCGAGTACGAACCAGCAACTTCAGGAGTCCCGAACGCTCTTTGATAGCAACTCTCGATCTGCCGTTCGTACGCTGACCCTGGAGACGCGTCGGGCGACTCACCCGGTACACCGCTGTCGCGGTAGTCCGAATCCTCATCCTCGGACGTCGCCACCTTCTTCTTCTTCTTCTTCTTCTCCGACAGGTCGTCAAAGAAGTTGGCAGGCGCTGCACCCGTTCGCCGAGTCGGCTGTACGGCCTCGAAGTCGATGGGCCGAGCTGGAACGCGATTATCCAAATTAGCTTCGTCGAACCGGATCCGGTAGAAACCAAACAGAAACGCTTACCAGGTTCCGGGCTCGACGACCGTTGGCGCACGAGAGCACCCCCCAAATCGATGTTCTCGACATCGACCCTCGCACCCGCCGATGCGGCCCCTCTCCCTCGACTCGACCTCGCGCTGTGTCGGCCATGTCGACTCCGCTGAATCGACCTCCCTCGAGGAGTCCTGGGCGGCGACACGACAGCTACAATCGAGCAAGAATAGACATAGTATCAGGTCACGAATTATCAATTCAGGATCCAAGCAGATTCGCTTTACTCACCCGCACTCGGCCCCGCAACCGGTTCCTCGTCGACCACGTCCAAAGGTTGCCCGGTCATGGCAACATCCTCGCCCGATATCGGGCGCCCAGTTGGCCTACGAGCTTCCCCGTAGAGCCCTTCCCGACGAGCCGGTTCACCACCTGCGAAGAACTCAACAAGTTCAGCGAAACGAAACCGCCTTTCGGAACCGAATCTGCTTACCTTCCAACCCCGATCGGGTCACCGACAGCCCCCTTATATTCGAGGCCAGGTTCTGGTCGACCTCGTCCGTGTCGTCCATATCGAGGAGTTGTTCGAAATCGAAAATTCCTCCGGAAAAGACCTGGTTGACTTCTACACACAAAGCGGAACTGGATCAGTGCACGCAAAGGAACCGAATCGACTCGAATCGCACAAACGAGAAGCCGAGTCTCCTGGATTTACGGTCGAGGCTCGAGAAGGAGTCGAGCGTTCCTCAATCTTGGGAGATACGGCAGGAGACGGCATCGTTGAGTATCTTCGAGAAAGGAAGTGCACAATTCGCTTCAATCGAAACGGATCCGGCTTATACCCCCCACTCGACGCGAGTCGATGGGCCTTAGCGAAATGGAAAATTCGGTCGCCATCAAATCAAAACAAACGCGTCGTAGACAATCATCAAACAAATTGATGCGATCAATACTTGAAACACGATGGCTCGGGGCGCGCCATTCCGGAGGGGGATATACTGTTACGGGATCATCACGTGAGTCGACTACCGACACACGGGTTGGATCTACGGACATCAGCATACACCTAAGTCCGGCTCGACGAGGCGAATCCGATTCCCTCGGAGCAGATTCGGTCGCCCCTACCATTCGCCTTCACCATTCACCGAAACAACAAACCTTCCCGACACATATCACAAACAGGTACAGGGACCTCGAGGTACACGACACTCTACTCAGGACCTCGACAACCTTACTCGACGTACCTAGGGACAAATGAGAACTCAAACTCGCCTCCTCTACCGAATCCGGCTGCTCTCAACAGGATTCGTCTGTTCGCCATCTCGTTCTTCCAGTTTCGCCATCTCTCGCCATTCTTTTCTCTTGGGTCTTTTCAGTGTTCGCCAGCCCCGTCTACGTACTCGTCTCCGTATAAATAGCTAGAGGAACTTGACCGAATTCGATAGAGGACGCTCTGTAATAGTTAGAGGTCAAGTTCCGATATCACATTCAATACACGCCTATCTGACTTGTTACAACATCTTCAAGACGTGTTGCGGAGAGGTTACAACTCAAGGACGTCGCTAAGTATCTACGCTTCATCGTTTTACCTTAGACCGAATCCGGTACCTCACACCGAGTGATCACCTTCCTTATCCATACATCTCTGGATTCGTATCCCGTACCCGAACCCGCTTCATCTAAGCGAACTTGCGACATTCTCCCGACTACCTGCGATTCACCTATAAGCACCCTACGCCTTACGACTTAGGACCTATCTCGATTAGCGACTTCCGCCGTAACATTGTACCTGTGTGTGACATGTACCGGGGATGTATTGTTGTTTCGGTGAATGGTAAGGGCGACCGAATCTTTTCTGAGGGAATCGGATTCGCCTCGTCGAGCCGGACTTAGGTGTATGCTGATGTCCGTAGATCGAGTCCATGTGTCGATAGCCGACTCACGTGATGATCCCGTAACACCATTGCACTCTGGCAAAGGCTAAGGACAACAAACTCTTCCTCCAGATGCCTGAGCTGTTCCTTCACAGTTTCAATACTTCAATCAATTATCCTTCCAATTCTAACAAAGTGCGAGCTGGTCTACTCTCATATAAGTTTCCGCTGCCTGTATGTGCAATCAACAAACCTTGGATTATCCAAGAGTCTTGCGACCCGATCCTCCTGGCTGATCTGCAAAGACTATTCCCGTTGTCTTATTACTCAGATGGCATTTAATGCTCACCTTATCTGTATACTCTTCCGCTTCAAGTTCAATGGGTGATGAATCCAGTAGTGTTGAAGTACACTGGTAGAAGGACACGGAGCTTTCTTTGTTGCAAGGGCAGCGAATTGTTTCTTGGTGAATCTAAGAATGAAGAGATGAGGACAAGTGTGGTAGCTTGTTCTCATCCTTCCCTCCTCATATATATACTCATGAGCAAAGGAAGTAAGGGGTACAAGTGAGGCTACAAGCAAGTGAGCGAGCAAGTGTGCGAGCAAGCGACTGTTGCAACTATCACAAGGTAAAGCAGCGAGCACGCGAGTGGGCAAGCAAATGGCTTGTGGTTTTATGGCTTGTCCTATTGGCAATAGTACATTATGTGTCTCGTCTCTTTACAAAGAGTCCATGATCCAGAGGAACAGGAAGACAGACAATCTGGCCATTGAAGTCCCGCTCTTCATTGTCACCTACCTGTTCAGCTTTTACTTTAACTTCGGCGCCCTCTCAGGAACTCCAATGACAACCATTCCAGCAAATTCACTTCTGCTCGCCTTTCTATCAGGCACCATGGAACTGGCATGAGCCAAGGAAACAAGGGACAATGACGGCCTGGAGCACTACAACAAGAAGAACAAGGACGATATAGAAGTTCCGCTAGCAGCTTTCGATCGTAGCCTTTGGCAGCGCCCTTGAGTGTGCCTGACCTTTTCCCCTCCCATGTCACAGCGATTGAGCCCGCCTCATACTTGCCCCTGAAATTCTAGGTTTGTCGTCTTACTACTTGCTCAACCTTTCAGTTGCTTCACAATATGCTTTACCTATCTATTCCCTTCCAAGATGAGAAAGCCACTGTGCTTGACCCTCCCACAATGCAGGCCCTGGAACAAGGTATCTTGCTGCACTCACAAATCAGACCCGCAAGGTCGGTTCGCCTTCCAAGATAACACCATCCTATGGCCACGTTCTCTCTCGCGCCCTCCAGACGTTATTGGTCAGGAAGTCTGACCCAATACTGCAACTCTGTCCTACCAACGATGGGATAGACGGATGTATATCTCTGCGACAGGTGCATCAAAGGCCTCCTTTACCGGCCAATTAAATCAGGACTTTTTAACAATTGGGCAGCAAAAAGATTCACTCTTAGAGATTGATCCAACCTTCATGACCCGTATGCACTCGCACCGCAGGGCCGGTGCTCATTCGGCGGCTCATTCAATCCCTAGTCTTTGGCGGCATACCTTGACCAGAAACGACACACTTCCCAAGGTTCGTTCAGAAGTTTGGAACTGACATAGTCATACGACGTGCGAAAAAAATATGCTCAACTTGATTCACCATGTCGTGAAACACAATATCCGTTGCCCACGCGCATTACTAGACTGGCAATTTTGGGGTTGTCGTTTCGGCCCCTCTGGGTGCGATAGCGTTGTCAGATGCCGAGGAAGCTGACCAGCATCATGCTTCGACCAGATCGCCCGGTCGGATCGTTCCGTCGCAGGGGTCTGCGAGGCCGTTGCATGTACCTACGGCCGCGCCGCTCGACGGTGATGCATAGAAAGGTGTTGTGAATAGAACACTCGAATCTTGCCCGAAATGGAACCCAGCTGATCTCCTCCCTCTTTACCTTCGTCGCATATTGATAGGAACCCCGTCGCCCAATCGTGTCTCGTTGCGAGCTGACCACGAAGTATAAAATACGATGATCAAACACGAGCTGTGAGACAATCTGCTTCCGCCGCCGGGCCAGCCGCCGTCCTTTAGATATATTGTCAATTCAAAGGAAGACAAATGGATCTATACCATCACTCTCAAATCCATAGGTCAGCAGAGAGATCTCAAAACGTAGACACATACAGCACCTAGACCTTCATGTCGTCGTCGTCGGACATATACGCCTTCCGAAGGACCCCAGAGGGGATGGCAATCGAGAACATCAATGTGTTCAAAGCGGTCAGCGATACGATACAGAGCTCTCACAGCTGTGACTGATAGCCGACAATGTCGACCGGTGTGTTACAGACATACCTCGACCGATATGGTTTTGAACTTTCTAGCCAGCAAATCCACTCCGCACTTGAACACCGTCGGGACGTCCGTGACTTCTCAGCAGGAGGGGTGAGTATCACTTCTCTCTCAACACCTCCGGATCTCAGCCTTACACCGGTTCCGATCTGCAGCAAGCGAAGAATTCTACCATGTTGGCCGCGGTCTGTTTAGAAAAATTGACGGAAAGAGTGGGTTCAGCGCTGTGCGAAGCAGTAAGTTTCACTAGCTCATACGGTTCGAATATCACCGCAGAGAGATCGAGTCACGGCGTCGCTGGTATCACGAGATCCCTCTTCTCAACTTTCGTGCCTAATTCTTAGTCTCATCCCGCCAATGAATGATAACAAGGTCTGCGGATACAAGCGACCCAACATACATTTCAAACAAGAGGTGGTTTCAGGTTCTGGCGCGCAAGCAACTGCCGCCGCCGTGGCCGCCGCGAATGCAGCCGCCACCGCCGACGCCGACGCCAGGATCCGTGATATCTTTACGGATTGCCTTGGATATTCAATCACACCCTACGTAACAAAGGCAAGAGCAAAAGGACACGTCTCTCAATACGTTCGTTCGATCGTTCTCCAATACTTTTCACACCAACCATCTTCAGGTGAGTTTCGGCGTCTTTCTTTCTTTCTCTGACTCGGTCTGACCTTTACATGTATACCTTTATAGAACAAGCAATGAAAGACTGGACGAAACACACGACTCTGCTTTCTG